GAAAACCCAGTTAAATATATTATATATAAAGAAATAAAAAATATTATAGCAGAACTAAGAATAGCTAATGCGATAAGAGAGGTAGAAGAGATTGAAAAGAAACAGGTTGCCAAAATTAAAGAGTTGGAAAAGAAGCAAGTTGCCAAGATAAAGTCAAAAATTAAATCTGGCTGGAGCAAGAGACTTAAAGAGCAAAGGAGAAATCAACAAAAGTAGCATAACAAGATAGTTCTAAACTCATTAGTACAACAATTTAATCAATCAGTCCAATCTGCTGCAGAAAACTAATACAAAGAAAAAGAAAGAGTCAAAGAAGAAAAGATAAAATTGCAAGCCCAAAAAAAAGCCAAAATAGCAAAAAGAATTTTGTGTAAAAAAGAAAAACAAACTGCTAGCAGTATAAAAACAAAAATAGAACTAGTTTGGTACAAGAAACTAGATGAACAAAGAAAAAAAATACAAAAGCAGCAAAACAAAATAGCACTCAAGTCATTAATACAACACTTTTCAGTAACCATCAGAGTATTCGAAATAGAGCAATTTTTAGAAAAAGAAACAATTAAGATAGAAGACTGGTAGTTACAATCCTAGCAAAAAGAAGTCTCGAAATATTGTCAACAAAAAACTAATAAAGGAAAAGTAATATCATAGCAAAAAATCAAGAGTCAAAGTAAAGAAGACCAAATAGAAAGAAAAGCTCTGAATAAGATTACAAAAGAATCAAGACCAATAATATTAAAAACAGCCATATTAGAAAAGAAAAAGGTAGAAGATATACAAACCAAGAATATACAGAGAAATATAATAGATTAGGCAATAGAAGCTTTGTACTTATCAAGTAGAAAAGATACTCAGATCAGTAGTAGAAATTAGAAAAAAAAGAAAAAAGACCTACTAGCAGATTAGATTCAATAGACCAAATCTTATACAGCAAAGAGCACAGTTAGAAGAGACAGAATTCAAGTTATCATAGTGGAAAGAATAACAAAAGTTATAAATCAGAAAAAGAAAAAGAAAGATATACTTTTGGATACAGCAGAAGGAATATTATTAGAAGTATTAGAAAATTGAGAAGCCTATATCAAATTACAAGAGAAGTTCTTTGAAAAGAAGCTACACCCAAAAAGAAAAAAAGAAAGAAAAGATGCTCAGGTCAGCAGAAGAAAGAAAAAGAAGAGAAAAAGACTCGAATGAAGTGAATATACGACAACTACTAGAGAAGTAGAAAGAGCTCCAGAAAATGCTAAAAAAGAAAAGACTCTTGTAAAAACCTTAAAATAGAAGAAAAGATCTAATAATAGAGCTCTGGAACAGAAGAGAAAAAGCAAAGAGAAAAACCTGAGAAGACTTCTAAGAGCCAGATTAGAGTTAATATCTGGATCTAGATTTAATAGCTTATATCTGGATTTAATTATTAAATTCAGATTTAATAACTTATATCTGGATTTAATCATTAAATCTGGATTTAATTGTTATATCCAGATTTAGTCAATAGATCTGGTTATAGATGCAATATCTGGATTTAACAATGATGTTTAGACTTAGATGTATTATCTGAAACTGATTTGTAAGTAAACAAAGGTAATGTGTCTGTATATTTAAATCTGGATATTACACATATATCTAAATTTATTGATTAAATCTGGATATAACAATTAAATCTAGATTTAATAATTAAATTCAGATATAAACTATTAAATTTGGATCCAAATATTAATACTAAGCCAGGTCTCCGATCAGAAAGAACCAAATAAATTAGAAGAAATGAAAACAAAAGCGAAGATACAAGAATATTCGAAAGAATATTAGCAATAACCCTTTAGAAGGAAAAGATATAGATTTGGTTATTAATAGAAAGATTAGATTAGATTACTATTATAGAAAGGAGAATAGTTTAAAAGAGAAAAATTGCCAATTTAGTATAAATAAAATTTCTTTTAATTTGAAACTATTTTATTATAGTTTTGCTGGCTAGCTTGGTGCAGCTCTCCGATACAGACAATTGCCTTAACCGATAAGACAGACCTTACTTGAATGACCATAGAGGAAGCCAAGTGATGTCGGATCTGTAACTTAGATAGTTTAGAATATAATTATATCTACTTTGATCTAATAAAGATACCAGCAAGGCTGCTAATATATTAAAAAAAAAAAAAATAGTTTAAATTAAGCTAAAGCCAAATTTTAAATTTGTTTCTATTATATAATTTAATTGGTGATTCACCAGTCAACTAGTGAGAGGTCATAGTGTAATGTGACGTGGTTTACATATAAAAATTAGAGTTTTGCGAATATGAGTTGCATTATTCTAAAACTTTTTTTCATACTAAGTGAGTAAAAATTTTTAAAAAAAGCTCTAATTATAGAATATAGGCAATATATATAGTAACAATATTACAGATAATTTAAATTATGAAATATTGCATAAATAAATCTTCTAGTTGAAATAACTTAAAAACAATACTAATATCTTTTATCTTTATTTTAGATAGTATTAAAATATCTGTATTTAATTTGTAAAATATTTGTTTAGAAAAATAATTAACAGATTGTATAAATAAGTTTTAATAAAAAAATAATATTAGGTCTTTGTTTAAAAAAGTGATATAATATTATTGAAACTAAAATAGTAAGAGAAGCAGTAAATATATGAAAAGGCTATAGTAAAAAATTGATTTTATTAAAATTGTAAACATCTTTGACTGGTATAAATTTATTACTAAAAAGATATGTAAAATATAAAGGTATATACAAATTAAGATCTAATAAGATCTAAATACATCTATATAAAATCTTTGACAAACAAGCTAAAAAAATACTAGTATAAATATAGCACCAACCAATAGATTAATATATTAAATTAAAAAAATAATAGAAGATTAGGCTTTATTATTTATTTATCTATAATATACATGCTACCAAAATAGGTTTTTAAAAAAACTCTATTTCATCTCCATTAGAGCAATTTGAAATTTTTATATACAAGAGCAAATCTAATTTAGGTAGTTATGTTCTTTATAATTTCATCTTTTCAAAAAAAGTATTAAAAAATTCTGTCTTTTAAATAAAATAGATCAAAAACAATTTCATCTTCAAATTTTAATTTTGTATCCTGAAATCTAAAATAATTTCGTTGATATGTATAATCTATAGTTAAAAGTTAGTTTATATAATAATACTGCTAGACCTTTAGTTAACAAGTTATTTTACTTGACTAAATATTTAAATAGTTAAGAAATATGTTTATATAATTTATAAAAAAATAATTTATAAAAAGAATAAAATATTATTAATTTATTGCTATAGTAATACTTATAAAAAAAGATTATAATTAATAGTTTATAGATAAAAAATAGATTTATTAACTTAGATAATACTCAAAATAATATTATAAACAAGATAGAAAAAATATAATTCAAATAAAATCAATTTAATTTTAACAAAAATAATAGCTTTTATAGTAAAAAAATAGACAAAATTTATAATAAAAAATAAAAATAAATTCAAATCTAGAATAAAATTTAGATAGCAGAATATAAAATAAAAAATTACAATAACTAAAATATATAAATCAACTATTCTTTTGACTTAAAAAAAGTAAAAATATTTAAATATTTTTTTCAAAATACCAAATTATTATAAAAATATAATCAGATCTTTCTAAATAGGTTGTCACTCAATTTCCTGAAAGCTATTTACCTGACAGAACATTTATATAACATCACAAAGATTAGGTTTAGCATTTAATTAGCTATAGGTATATATTTTTAGCAATTTGTCACCTGTATTATATCAGGTAAATGTCTTGTTGAGTAAATGGTTTTCAGGGAATCGTACTATAACCCTCTAAATGCAACCTCTTTAAGTACATAACCTCTCTAAATATATAAAAATCACCTGGTCCATTGATAGACCTAATAAATAAATACATATTTCTTATTCTGCAAATATATATAATTTTTTTAATCCATATATTTAGGAAACTGTTATTGCTACCCTATTTTTGTTAATACTACCTCTACATAACTTTAATTAACTTTTAACTAGGGATGTTATCCTACTTGCTCAAACTCTGTTTGATACCTGTTTGGAACTCGAACTAGTTAAACTCGAGTTTCGGCAATCATGTGATTTTTACTATGTTATTTAAACTCTGTATGCTCGAAATCAAATTTAATTTAACTTTTAATTACTACCGTTATAGTATTTTTCGATTGATTAATTATAGTATTATAGTATTACATGGATATAACGAAAATTAGCCTTTTTAATTAAAAGTTAATTACATTATGTTGATAGAAACAAATTGGCTTTTTTTAATTATTGTGGCATGACATGACGAAATTAGACTTTTTTTCTTTTTTTTTAATTATTGCGGCATGATATTATGAAAATTAGACTTTTTTTTTTTGAATATAAATAAGCAATTTTTTTTTTTTTTGTACATATTTTTAATTCATAAAATAGATGAAAAAAATACATTTGATTCATTTATTAACCCTATTGAACTTACCTCTTCAACTTCTCAAAATACACATGAATCCGAAGCACTTTTGGAAATAACCAATCATCCTCCAAAAAGACTAAAATCGGATCTCTTTTGGGAGGAACTTAATGAAACCACCAATAAGCGAGAATGCAAGCATTGCAATAAATCTTACTCATTGGACACAGGCCTTTCTACTATTAAGTCGCATTTTAGGCGTAATCATATAGAGCGATATAATGAACTTATAATAGTAATTAGGGATAACGTTGAGCCTTATAGTGCTGATAAGGTTTTAAAAATTAACCAATATCTCTTGAAATGGATTGTCACAGATCAACAAGCTTTTTTTCTTGTTGAAAATAAGGATTTTTAACAATTTATTAACCAATTAACCAAACGGTATTGTCTTCCATCAAGACAATTTATTTTACGAAATATTTTAAAGCTATATTATGATAAACAATATAAGCTTCGCGTTTTTTTTAATGCAAGTCAACAAAAATTTTCAATCATGACGGATGTTTGGACCTCATGCACCAACCTTGGGTTTCTCGCTATTACACTTCACTGGATCGATGAAGCCTGGATTATAAAACAAATTTTATTAGATATGATACTGCTCCATGAACGTCATACCGGTAATTTTATAACTGAAAAAATTCTGGAAACAATTTCATTTTATAATATTGGCTCTTGTATTGTATCTGCAACAACTGATAATGTCTCGAGCATGGATATATTTGGGCATATGTTTTGTGAAAAACTACGATATAAGCATAGTAATAAGGATTTCGAACATATCCGCTGTGCAGCTCATGTGTTGAATCTTGCAGTGTCTAATGGTATGAAAATTGTTGTTAGCTCGATTATGAAGTTACGAAACTTTGTAAGTTACATACACAAATCCCAACTATTATTTGAGGATCTTAAAAGAATTTTTCAAGCAAATGGAAGATCTTTCCTTGTATCTGACTTGGACGTATTAACACGGTGGAACAGCACTTACAATATGATTGAAAAAATGTTTCGAATTCGTCAAATGACAGATGATTTTATTGAAGATAACCCTACTTTAAAGAACCGATATTTAAATGAAGCTGAATAAAATGAAGTTGAGGTTAGTATTTTAATTTTGCATATTTTTAAACTTAATACAATAAAATTAATTTACTTATCTTTAGGTTATTGTTACTCTACTTGAACCCATGGCAAGAACGACCCCAATTTTATCATTATCAACCCGTCCAACAATGGGGATTTGCATATGATATTCCCGACTATTTTAAATATTTTATACAATATATTGTATAGTGAAATTCTAATAAAGAATCAAATTGCGCAATGAATCTACAAGAAGCTTGACGATTATTGGACCATTCTTAAAACTTGTTATAGTGTATCGGTTGTATTAGACCCAAATATGAAACTATCATCATTTGATAATGAAACGGCCATAATTATTTGTGAACTACTATACAGTACCTATGAACAATATAAAGAATTTGGCGTATCCATTGCTGAAGATGATAGTGATTTTCCAAAAAATTATTTTAGAAAACATCGTAATAAAAAGTTAAATAATACTTCTAATGTTCTTGAAGAATATCTCACGGCTATTAAGGAAAATTGTAATCCTTTGGATTTCTAAAAAACACGATCAGCTGATATACATTATTCTGGGCTCACACGAATAGCACGTGACTATTTGGTTGTACAAGCTACTTCTGTACCTAGCGAAGAAATATTTTCTCAAGCCAAAAATACAATCAATCCAATTCGTAATCGATTATCTGAAGAAAATGCTTCTGCAAGCCTCTGCTTAAAAACGTGGTATGAATCAGGTATCATCGATTGTGTAGAAGGTTAATAAATTGGGTATTATT